ACAGAAGGGGCGGAGACAAGACCAGTCATCCTGCACAAGGAGGGAGCAGCAGTGACCGGTCTTTATTGGAGGAGGGGAGACCAGTCATCCTGCACAAGGAGTGAGCGGTCTTTATTACAGGAAGTCTCACACTGGATGACTGCCCAGATCTGGAAGACATACACAGAGCTCACCGAGATTCCAGGAAGAATACACCTGACTCTTGTATATAGATCATATTGGGTTATATCCTTTTAATATGACGTTGTCAGGCAGGTATTCCCACATATTCCAAACGGTGCGTCTCTGAGGATGAGGGCACGTCTCTTTCCTGAAAACGAATTGCGGTGTACATGAGACATGAGAGACCCTTTACGTCTACATCCCAAATACACCTGTGCTGTTTGATTCCCCCCCCCCCCCCCCAGACATCAACAGACGAATTCTGCTGATCACCCCTAGATGACGAGTACCTGGAAACTTTCCTGTCCTTGTGATCTGGTGACCTGGGACATTGATGTTGGATTATTTCTGCTTCATGAATCCTTTTCTTCCTCTGCTGGTTTTCCTGATACTCCTGATTGAAGGTGAGTATTGCAGCAAAAGCTGCCTTAACCCCGTCACTGCCACTGCTGCAAGGCTTGCGTCAGCAGCAGCACCAGCTTTTAAACACACTCCCGGCTGCTATATCTAGACCCGGCGTTGTCAACTCTGGACCTCCAGCTGTTGTGGAACTACAAGTCCCATGAGGCATTGCAAGACTGACCGTTACAGGCATGACTCCTAGGGACAGATGCATGATGGAATTTGTAGTTTCGCCACAGCTGGAGGGCTGGTGTTGCCCACACCAGCTGACTGTCGGCTTTGTGCTGGAAGTGATTTGGGGTGGCTGTATAGCTGAAGAAGCTCATCGAGCACCCTCTCGCCCAGCTTCAGTGGAGTAGAAAGGTGACATTAGGGGTCTAAAAGAGAACCGGTCACATAAAATGTGCTATGGGAATGGGGGCTTTTCGTGTCGCTTATGCACAATTTTGGGTAGCGAAGTTTGTTATCGTTTCACGGGCATCTGCAACCTCGTCTTTTATAGAGTCAAGACAGGGTACCGGCACTCCAAATAGTGACTGGGGCCTCTTTTTATTGAAGTAAATGCAGTTTTTCGGGGTGACAAGGGATCCCCTTCTTCAGGCAAGACATGTCGGGCACCCTGCGTGACCCCGAAACGCATATATGTGATATGCTGCCTATACATCAATAAAAGACGCACTATATGGAGTGCCGGTGCCCCGTCTTTACATAGATTGTCACGGCGCCATCCGTTGGTCACCGTAGCACCTTCCAGTTGTTTTTGGACTAAGGAAATCAGCCAAAATTTGCTGCGTGTATAACCGGCTTTACTCTTCCTGCCCCCATGTGACAGCATTGTGTGCTGGAGTGGAGTGTTGTCACCCGCTGGGAGTATTTTTCTTCATCCCCCGGTAGTTGGACTGGGGAAAACGGAATGTATATTGATGGCGGAGAGGTGATCCAATTGCTGCTCCTTTAGTGTCCAGTTACAGGCTGATGGCAGGTAGATGGCCAAGCTGTATTGCTTTCACAGGTAAGGAGTTGCTGCGTTGCTTAGCAGGGCTGTGTAACCCTTAGGACTGGATGAACAGTATTATAAACCTTTTGGTGGGTGAAATAGTTTTCATATGTATTTTATTTAGTGGTTTGCCTGCAGTCCAGCTTTAACCACTTGCTGACCGCTGTGTTTACACCCCCTTGATGTCCCGGCCATTTTTCAGTATTCAGCGCTGCGGTACTTTGGCTGACGCTTATTCCGTCATGCAGCGCTGTACTGAAATACATTTTATACCATTTTTTGGGGACAGATAGAACTTTCTTTTGGTGGTATTTAATCACCACTGGGGTTTTTATTTATTACTATATAAAGGAAAAAGTAGCGAATATTAAAAACAAAAATGTTTTTCCCTTTATTTTAGGAAACATTTATTTTTACCCAATTTTTTTGGTAAATTATAAAAGACGGGGTCACGTCGGGTAAATAGACACCAAACATGTCAAGCCTTAAATTTGGCCGCGAAATCGCAAAAAATCACCATAGCCAAAATTGGCCATAGGCGACGGTTTAAAAGCTTTTACCGCTCATCAGTTTAGTGTTATCAGTGATCAATGGCCCGAGAATTATTGCTCTCACTCCGACGTTCGCGGCGATATGTAACGTGCAGCATAATTGGAGCAATTGTCGTTTTTGCGTGTATGTGCAACTAACGCATTTTTGCACATCTATGTGGGGGTGGGGGACTTAAAAATTCTTTTTTTACACTTAACTTTATTGTTATCACATAGGGTGCTAAGAAATCCCTTATGTGATAAATTACGGTGACAGGTCCCCTTTTATGGAGACATAAGGGGTCTCTAAGACCCCTAATGTTACCTAGGGACCCCCCAGAGAAGCTGATGAAGCAGAGATCTGCTTCATCAGCTTCTCTCCGGTTTCTGTACCGGAGAGTGACAGAGTAATGCAGGAAGTGGTGTAATACACATCACTTCCTGCATTCAGATCGGGAGGAGAGCGGAGGGAGATCTGTACTGATCTCCCTCTGTTCTCAGTGCACAGAGCCACATCGCCCGGGATGGATGGATGCCCGGGGACAGCAACGAGAGGTAAGGGGGGAGAAGGGGGGGTCGCACCCTCACTTGCATCATGTAAGCGATTGGGCGACTTTACAGATGCCGGACTGCTTGTATATAAACGGCCATCGCAGGCCGTTTAAAATCCAGGCGATTTCCCGCTGGTGCGCTCCAGGGGGCGCGCAGGCACGAAGGACGTCTACAGACGCCCACCCGCATCCAGGAGACTCCCGTCCAGCCGTCTTTCAACTTTCGGCGGACGGGAGGTGGTTATTACCCTAAACCGGGGGTTGGCAATTCCCGGCCCTCCAGCTGTTGTGGAACTACAAGTCCCATGAGGCATTGTAAGACAGAGTTCCAGGCATGACTTCTAGATGCATAATGGGATTTGTAGTTAAAGCACAGCTGGAAACCATTATGATACCGGCTGACATATAGTCTCCTGTGTTAAAGCCAACCCTGGAACGTGTGAGTCACGGAGGCGAGAGGGAATATTTGTGGAAAGGTCTTCCATGACTGCGTGGTACATTTCTGGTGCTGGTACCAGATGTCCTGCAATATTAATCTACTTGCGGCTCTGTTTGCATTTCTGCATAATAATTGTGCTTCTTGCTAAAACGTTCTGCCAGCAATTCTCTCCCCCGACACCGCTGCTCTATTCTGTGTGCAGATACATTTTAGGATTTTTAAGCGTACAAGCAAGTGTGCCCCTTGTAGGCCAGGCAGGGGCGGGGTATTCCATGATGTGGATGAATTGTTTTTGGTGGGTTAGATGTGCAGGAGATGAGCTGTGATCACTCCAAGGTGGTGGAGGGGGTATTGAATGGTGTGAGAACCACTGTGAAAGGGGTATTGAGGGGGGCAGAGACATTCTTTAACCCCTTCATGACTGAGGCCTTTTTTTCATTTTTTGTACCCATATGGCAGAATAAAGCTTAACCCTTGCAGTGGGGCTACCTCCGCACTGCAAAGGGTTAAGTGCTCGTTGTTACTGTTATACTGTTGTTATTTTAGACCCTAGACCAAAACAAGCACTTAACCCTTTCAGTGGGGCTATCTCTGCAATTCAAGGGTTAATTTTTTTAATTCGGCCTGCAGTTCTATAAATCTGCTGTGGGAAGAGAGATGTGAGCTTGAGGGGTGCTCCTGTCCTTTCGGTTGCAGTGTCCCTCAGTCTCTTCTGCTCACACAGAGCCTGCAACTTGTGCAGCAGGGAGTCTGGGAGCTGCAGTGCCGGAGGGAGCGTGCAGGGGTGCAGAGATTTGCTATGTAAAGATGTCTGCAGTAGTAATCAGGGGAGCGGAGAGGGATGATGTGCGTTAGATTTTTGGGGAAGAACTCTGTCACTGATACAGCTGGCAAAAGCTAGTGAGGGAGCCCGGAGGGAGGAGTACCTCCTCCAGAAGTCCGGGTGTGGGGTATAAACTACCGGTGCCAGGGGGGCTGGAGATAACAGTCACTGTGAGATGGGCCGGGAGGAATCCAGCAGGAACACGCTATATACGGCTTCATTCCATCAGATGACTCCAGAGATCACCGGGGGTCAGACAGACTGGAAGGAGGAAGAGAAATCTCTAGGTGGAATCTCGGTGGCAAAATGGAAATGGGTCTTACCTATTAATGATGTCCAGCCACAACATTGTCTTCTAACTTATGGATAGAGTGGGGAAGGGTTAGAACCCCTGACAGATTTTGCAGACTTACCCTCACTTCCTGTCCTCCTGCCAATGTTTTAGCAGACAGGAAGTGATGGAAAAACTTAAACCGCATCCTTGAGGGAATTCAAACCGCTTTTCTTTAATCAAGCAGGGGAAGGCCGGAGCTCCTGTCAGCTCTTTATTTCTGTCTTGTCCTGTTGCAGATTTTTCGCTAGCCTCCTGTCTGGTGAAATGGTTGTCAGCTGCACACAGGACGTCAGGGTAAAACTCTCTATTGGAGCCCTGGACAGCATTAAAACCCCAACCAGGTGTTCTAAGAAAAATATCGGCCTTCTATACTTTTAATGAAAAGAATGCCCAATAAACCTGCCACAGAAGTGTCTGGTCACTTCCTGTTTTGGGGTGAGACTCCCTGTCTCTCAGTTGTGTTCCTGCATTGTTACCTGTGTCAAGCTTCTAAAATGGAGACCACAAGTGGCTGTAGTGACACAGATTGCACAGATATGGTCCAGTGTTGTCATCATCAGACAATCCACCACGAGAAATGCCAATGCTGGAGTGCATGTAGATGGGAATTGTCTCAGCCGTATGGAGGTGCAAGAAAAGATTAAAAACTAAAGTGAAAACTGTATTTAATGATATAAATGGAATTTGTTTCTGATGAACAGCAATCTGAGTGTCACTCGGTAATTCTTTACATCTGCTGATATAAATTGTTGTGTTTTGTAGGAATGCCTGCGTATTAAGACTTCACTCCACCCCCTGCGTGATGGCCGAGCGTACTCCACTGAAGCCTCTGGGTAAGACTTGCTTGATTCCTTATACCTGAAGGGATTGCACATGTTTTCTTCATGGTCAGTTTTTATTTTTCTCTATTTAATATGGAATCTTGCTTGTAGGGATGCCCCAAAATGGAATTGTAAGATCGAAAATAAAACATTTGTCAAACTGAAAATGACTGACTTTTTTCCATTCTTTTAAAACAAAAAAAACAAAATAAATATATATATATTTGTTTTTTTGTACTTTACTTTTAGGGGCTTCAGGGAAATATTAGTGGTCTAAACAGACCACCTGATATTTCCCTTTTTAAAATCGAAAAAGATTGAGGACACAAAGTCCTCAATCTCTTTTTCTGCAGCCCCTGTTATAAATGAACAGGAATCATCTATACTGAGTGTTCCTCTTCATTCATAACTTGTGTACTTACCATGTCCACAATCATGAATGAATAGGAAGTGATGTAGATCACTTCCCATTCATTCATAACTGGTACATAGTGTGCATACTATGTACCAGTTATTTACAAACAGTCACTTACTAACAGTCACTGATCAGCTGATCGATGAGTGTTTTGTATACCCGCTTTCCGCCCTGAATCGGCTGTCACAAGAGACAGGCGGTGTGGGAGGAGAGCTCCGCCTCCTGTGACAGATCATAGCGCTCTCTTCCACTCACCGCTCTCCTCCCGCATTGACAGATCAAAGCTGTCACCGCCCCACAGTGCTCTCCATCCTGACAAAGGAGGCCAAGTCAGGAGGTGTGGGAGAAGAGCTCGGCCTCCTGCAACAATCACAGCTGTCACCGCCCTACACCACTCGACATCCTAAAGGCTTCTCTCCTCCCCGCTGGGCATCGGCGCAGCATCGGAAGGTACACAGACCGCCGCCCAGCGGGGAGAAGAGAAGCTAGGAATACACTGAATTTTTGGCTGCAATGTTTCGGCGGCCGAAATTTCGGTGCATCCCTAATTGCTTGTTAAGATGTTGTTGTTTTGAGCCAACAGATAGAGATTTGGGCTGCTTTTCACATATTTTCTGGTATGCTCTTGTCAGCATACCTGAACAGTGACTTCAGCTAATTGGCTGCAGTCGCTGTTAGGCCGAGAATTTTCGCACAGACTCTTTGGGTAAAATTCAGCAGACTCCTTCCATCTTTTGTCAGCAGGACTCGGCACTGAAGGCAGTGTGTGGCCAGCTTAACGGCCCATTTGCACCACCAAGTCTTGGTTTGTTGCATTAGGGCGGCAGGCCATTCAGCACACCAGAGTGCACAAAACAACTGGCAAGCACCATTTTTTACAATGCATGGTGGTGTGGATTTTTGTTGCGGTGCACAACAATGCAGGTGCATCGTACAGAATGAAGTGCAGTAATGCATGTAATGTGTGAGAGTATAAATGGGCCCTTAGGCTTTCCCGTCTGTAATCTGAGCAGCGTACACAGTTTTAGGATCTGAGCTCCAGATCAGGAAGTGTAGATCTCATCACTGTGTTAATTCTGTTGCTGGAGGCACACGGCTTGTCAGGTCGAATGTTTTCACCTTTCACATTGCATACTCCAACTTCCAGAAAGATCAATACTAAACTTTACTGCTGCAGAGCTTCTTTATAGTTCTTTTTATTGCTAAATTGGCATCCGAACTGCAAAATCTTACAGGGTATCATTAATGGCTTCATCTAGCATTGTATAAGTAATAGTTGGAATGAGGACTACATTGTTCTTTTTCTGGGTCTTTTTATTATAGTCAGAACTATTTAAAAAAACAATCTACCAGCCAGCAGGTGGAGCTGTAGGCTTCTTTCACTTGCGCTTCCTCTCTCTTCTTATCTGTTGTAAAAAAAAAAGCCTGTTAACAAAGCTCACTAGCTCAATCTGAAATTTACACACAAGTTGAGGTCTCATCTCTTATTTGGATGGCTATTTCTGTGGTTTCAGCAAGCAGCATTTCTTATTGGTCAGGTGACTGTGCTGACCAATGAGTGCTCGCCATTTGCAAACATTATTTTAGAGTGTCGGGTTGCAGTACAGATCATACAAGGGCTGCAGCGGGGGGTCAGCAGTTCCCCCAAGGTATAACTAGTGGGGGGGGGGCATATTTGTAGGGGTAATTTCAGTGTCTCATTCCTATGTTTGGTGGGAAGCTGGAATGACCCTTTTAAATACATTGCTAACTATAAACAATTGTCTCACGGTGGAATGTTAGCTACTCACCTCTATCTATTCTTGTACAGACCCTCAGCTGTGAAAATTGTCGGCGCAGGGCTGCTGTTTGCCGGAGGTGGAGTTGGGGGCACACTACTTTACGCCCACTGGGATCCAAAGTTCCGTGAAAATGTTGGGAAGTCCATACCTTACACTGACAAACTTTTCGATCTTGCACTAGGACCTCCACCCTACAGCCTGCCAGTGCCTAAGAAACCGGTAAGTCAAATCATTCCTGGATATGTCTGGGGTTTCCAAATCAGAACATTGTACCTAGAGGGTTTACTATCAAATGTGACTCTTCTTGTTTCTATGGCTGTTTGGGAAATATGTGAAGTATTTTGATCTATACTACAATTAGGAAATCATCCACAATTACAGTACAGCATAAAAATACACAGGGGGGAATTTGATCAAAACTGGAGCAGACAGAAACTGGAGCAGACGCCCAGGGCAACCAATCAGCTTCTCTCTTCAGTTTGGATTTGAAAATGAGTGATAGAAGCTGAACGGGTTACCATGCAAATCTGCTCCAGTTTTGATAAATTCCCCCCCCCCCCCACAGTATACTAGGGGAGAACTGTGGCCAAGCTGTAGACATTCAGATATTTGCATATTGTTAGTAAACCGTAAATAAGCTCCCACAGACCACTGTAGCAAATTCTTTACCTGGGCAAACCATTCAGCAATAATGCTTTCTAGACACCAGTATGTGCAGGAATGATATGAGAGAGACTCATTACATGCAAAGCAAGATAATTCAAGCCGTGATTTGTCATAATTGTGATGATTATGGCTTACAGCTCATGAAAACCCCAAGAACCCCAAATCCACAACCTCATGAATGTTGTTTGAAGTTCGGCCGAGCTGAAGTTGCATCCATTTGATATTTGTGCTCGAGTTAAAGCAAAGGCTTTTATGAATTATATTTTCTTTCATCTCTTTTGACAAGGAAATGGTTGGAGCACCAGCCAGTTGAGTTACCCATTGACTGGGAACAATAATCTCAGTGCTAGTAGATGGCGCTGGGTGGACAAAGTGAACATTTAAATGATGTAACCTCAAAGTTCAAATCTCTTCCCTCTGTACCACAATTAGTAGGGAGATGCACTCCTAATCCTAAAACCCCAATGTGCAGGGGGGATGCAGGTCAATGGATCTGTGCAGACAGGGCTTCAAATAGACTAATGTAGTCACTACCTCTATCAACGTCATCTAGGGCTGATTGGATAGTGGACGCTGTGAGTGCCACTGAGGCAGTTTATCCACACAAGCGCTCTTGGGAGGAAAGGGAAATACAGGTGTTGTGCGCTGGTTTGCTGCTCCTAGTGGATATGGACCGGGGTGTCTGACGTGTGTACTGGAAAAACAAAAGAGAAGACCGAAGCGCCACAACCTAGCGCAATGACTCGGGTGCAATGGGGCAGAAATGATGAGATGTCAAACTCACCTGTGGGAAGGTGAGCACTCGCTTCAATGAGGGGTCAATAGGAAAATCGTGGTGTGGTGATGTAGTTGGACGAAAGGCTGTATTCTTCCTTTGGGATGGTAACGTGGTGGATCCAGGGGGAAGTAACAGTGATAAAAGGATGATGAGACTTCGCGGATGCAGTAAATGACAAAAAGATTTGTAAAACTCACCGTTAGTCAATTCACCACGTCACCGTCCCTAAGGAAGGATACGGCCTTTTGTCCAACTACATCACCACGCTTCTCCTATTGACCCCTCATTGAATCGAGTGCTCACCTTCCCACAGGTGAGTTTAACATCTCATCATTTTCTGCCCCACTCCACCGGAGTCATTGCACTAGGTTGTGGCGCTCATGTTAACAATTTTAAATCTGATTTTCATGAAAGCAAAGAAAAACCGTGCAGGATATATTAACAGAAAAGATGTTACGATACAGACATTAAGAAAAAGTAAAACAAACAGGACTAAAAGTGAAATAAAAGGGAAATAGCCGTAATAAATAAAAGTGAAGAAAAGAACTTCAGGAAAAATGGATGCTATGTAACAAATAGTTATTTAGGGGTATGCCACCTCCGGGATCGCTGGCCTCTATTAGTTTTTACTATTTTATTATTCATGCTGAATAGTATAGTTATACCTGCTGAGCTGTGGCAGGAGACTTGCGCCTCTCATGCACTGAAGCCGTACCTTCTGCCTCTCCTCCTATTCTTGTCCATTCACATAACAGTTTATATATTGTGAATGGTTTACAGAATACGAAGCATTCTGCTGCTCCATTCACAGTCAGAAGCAGCTCATGTTTTCCCCATCTGTATGTACACCAAGAGATGGTTTGATCATCATTTTACTAAAAACGGACTTAATATGGCATGACTTGTACTTCAAAGATCGTGTGTGTGTTTGTTTCATTTTCAGCAGGGGAAGCCTGGGCCCTTACAAATCTCCTCAGTTTCTGAAGTAATGAAAGAATCCAAGCAGCCTAAGAAACAGACAGAGTCACCACCAGCAGCCAGTGCACAAGGTAAATCTATTGCGTGACAAAGTAGGAGAGGTTCAAGGGGTGGGAACACATAACCTGCATTACCTGTGTCAATTGTTGTCTGGAGTTCCTGAACTGTAGTAGTCTCGTAGCTTATAGGAAGATGTTACTTCTTGTTTCATCATTCCCTCACTGCCTCTGAGATCATGTGAGATTCTAGCCAGAGATCTGTGCAACCAGGAACATCCCATGATCAGCAGACCATAGACTCTGGGCTGCCATATTACATGGATAATGTCTCTGTGCTAACTTGCAATCAGATGATCTATATAACTACAGATTATTACCCAGATAATTTATATAATTGTTCGTTTTTTGTTTTACTTTTTTGTTCCATGCAAGCTAATTTGGATATGCAAATGAATGGACTGTTCAAACTTCTGTTGGTGTACAATATTGGGGGCACAGTGTTGGACAGAACTTCGGGGATATAGATTTGGGGTGCTGATTTCAAAGGATTGCAGCTTGAGCAGTGTGTCTGGCAGTGGGGAAAGCGAGTAGAATTCTGGGGTGCATCACTAGAGGGACCACCAGCAGGAGGGAGGAGGTCCTGATTCCTCTATATAGATCTTTACTTATCACTAGAGAGATCACCAGCAGGAGGAAGGAGGTCCTTATTCCACTATGTAGATCTTTACTTATCACTAGAGGTATCACCAGCAGGAGGAAGGAGGTCCTTATTCCACTATATAGATCTTTACTTATCACTAGAGGTATCACCAGCAGGAGGAAGGAGGTCCTGATTTCTCTATATAGATCTTTAGTTATCACTAGAGGGATCACCAGTAGGAGAAATGAGATCCTGATTTGGTCAGTGGCTCAGCAACCACTAGGAGCACAATCTACATGGACTTTGTATACTCTGCCTGTGTTTGTGTAGTTTTCTTCCTACAATTTTATGTTCCCTAGCCTCCATCGCCTCTGTGTTGATCTCTACATTTGGGACATTAGATGTAAGCTCTTCTAGGGACAGAGACTGATGTGAATAGTGCTCGTACATTGCAAAGCAGTGCAGAATTTGTCAGCACTATGTAAAGGCAAAACATTATTTCTGTGGAACCTTTGTATTCATTTTTGTTCTTTCTTGCAAGCTTCATCGCACGCAGCACAGATTATTTCTGCAGCCGGTGATGCCATTTCAGTCCCAGCTCCTGCTGTGCATGAAGAGGAAACCTCCAAGGCACCAGAGGCAACGGAGCATAAACCACAACACCATGGGAGCTCAGGTAGTGCACATCTACCTGCTCCATCTAGTGCTAGAACTTTGAAAGTGCCTGAACAATGCGTTACTTGTAATGACCTTGTGACAGCTCACTCAGCTGTGGGGCTTTCACTGTGTGTGGCAAGCACAGGCCCTTTAAAGAAAGGATCTGTTCCATAACAAATTGTCCTTGAGAGCTGTGTATTAGGAATATCAGTGCTCTAGATCTGAAGGTCAGTGGCTCAGGTTCTCTAAGTAGAACCATGTCCTCCCATCTAAAAAGAGATATGTGCTGCAGCACCTAATTATAAGTGAATCTGCACCTAAAGTTCCCCTAAAAGTCCCACAAATACCTGTTTGATCCTGCCAGTGAAGTCCACCTTATGCAGCTTCCTGCGATGTGCGTCAATGTTGCTGCACTGCTACTGACTTCCGAGCAAAGTTGTTACTCTCATGTAGGCTGTGTCTTCTTGCACCACACCGGTGTAAGTAGTAGATGTTGCAGGGGGCATAGCTATCGGCGTTGTCCCTGCTGATTCACAGGCCTGTAATGTGTCAATCAGCGCCTGACCACACCTAGTCCTGTCCACTGATTTCTGAATTGATAGCACTCTCTGTTGCTGGAACCCTCCACTGTGAGCTGCAGTGTCTGAGAGGGGGAGTGTGTGAGACACAAATGAAGGATTTGGGCTCAGTCAGGGAAGGTAAGGGAAGATTTTTGATTATTTTGAGGCTTGTGCATCACATGATAACTGGATTTGCTACTTGTTTAGACAAAGTTTTTATCTGGCAATGTCTTTAGGATGCTGATGAGGTAGGAAAAGAGAAACCAGAGAAGGTAAAACATAAACAGATTAAACTTCAGCTTTTTTTTTTTTTTTAAAGATCTATATGGCAACTCGAGTAGACTAATGTTGATTTTTCTTTTTCTGATCCCCTTTAGAAGCTGAGCATTGTAAGGAGTGTGAGCATGAGGATAAACCCCACCTGAAAGAACGGCCTCCAGAGGAGGTGGCTGCACGTCTTGTCCAGCAAGAGAAGAAAGAGAGGGAGAAGATAGACTGTAAGTCACATAGCCTCTAATGCTATTTACTGTACAGAGTGGATCATTTTAAATAGGTCCAGACAGCTTTCCAATGAGTCTCTTAGCTGTGGAGCAAGACAATGCTTCAAATGGTTCCTTCCTTATGTAGTCCATATTTTACAGTGACTGACCTGAATGAAGTGCATGCACCAAGGAAATGCACTAATGGTAGCTTTCATTCCCGGCCTATATTGATTGTGCACTGCTTTTGCACTTCCTGATACTGCCTCTTTCGACCTCACAAACCTTCCAACTTCCACAAACCTTAACTCAAAATATACCCCAGTGGTTGACAGAAACCGGGATACAACAAAGACTTAAAATGCTCAATGCAAACAAAGCAGAAGCCTATCATACTGAATGACCAATAGAAATATATGAGGGTGGGAGAGAGAAGTATAGACTTGGAAGCTGTGGGTCAGTCATCCTAGTTTGGCTTCTGTTTGAATCCCTGACATGGAACAAGTTTGCAGGTCGGCAGCTTTGACTTCACTGTATAGTGCGTGTATCTTGTTTCACTCTTTGATTATCTCTTGTTGTACAGCTATAGCTGCAGTCTTGGAGGAAGCACTGAGTAACACTGCCCGGGTCACACTCCAAACCATCTCATCCCAAGAGGCTGCAGTGCAAGCGGTCAACTTCCATGCCCAGAAACTGCGAGAGGCCATGGACGACGTTCAGGTGAGCAGAAGTCCCCGTACATTAGGTGCTCTGCTTCTTTTAATGTGTTGGCTGCATTCACTTCCATGCTAACGTGTCTGTGTTCTCGTACAGGTTCCTGCAGAACACAAGTCCTTACAGTGGAGGGATTTGGAGGATGCCTTGAAGGTGCGCAGCAAAGCTGTGGATGAGGCAGCGGATTCTCTTCTCAAAGCAAAGTTCGTATTCATGTTTCGCTCTCTTCAAATACACTTGCATATTCTGAATATTTTTGCTGTCATTTGAGCCCATCCAAAAATCTGCACCCAGTTTTGTCAACCATTGTTTTGGTTGACAAAACTTCCGGAAATAATAGTTTTTTTGTTGCTTTATAAGCTCTATAATGCATCACTGATCTAGGACAGGTGTAGATATGAGAATTACTGACTCTTGTGTGATGCTCACTAATTTGCTGCATGCTTGTTATGGGTCATGTTTCTACCCTTAGCCACTTTATTACTGGGGGAATAAGGGGTGAACCCTGATAAGTTGAAGTGAAAGGAGAAGCAGCTTACTGATGAGCTTGTCTCTGTCACTCTGCTTTTTCTTCCTATCCACATGCTTCTTGTTGCACATCTCTCCCTCCCTTTTCTATTCTGATCTCTGCTGTACAGGAAGTACAGGAAGGGGGGGTTTGCAAGAGATGGATACCAAATCAAATTCAGGCACTTGCATTTTTTGCATTGAGAATAATACATTCATTGATGTATTAATGAATAGCGAGCTGCATTAATTTATCTTTTATCTGCCTAGAGGTAAGCTTTAACTATCACAATAATTGACACACATGACATTTTCCCCCTGCTGTTGTCTAAATGTGTTTTTAATTCTTCTTTATGTAGGGAGGAGCTAGAACGGATGAAGGGTGTTATTGATGATACCAAAAAGAACATCGTGAATGGAGCGAAGCCGCACATCATTTCAGCTGAAGAGAACCTCCATCGTATGATCGTGGACCTGGACAATGTTGTTAATAAGGTACTTTGTATATGTTTCAGCAGTTTTTTAGGAAAGTGACTTTTTTTTTTTTAAAGCCTGGTAAACCTTGTGTTGATATTCTGCACCCCAAAAGTAATTCAAGTAGATCCCATCGCACTACTGACCGGGTATAACCCAAGATAATGGGTGGGTGCTGAGATGACAGCAGATGCCTCTGCAGATCAGTATCACGTGGTAGATCAGTTACTCGCACTCCAATCAGAATTTCAGTCAATGTTCTTTATTCACACTAAAAAATTGTCACATCGTATAGCGACGCTTTGGAATCGTATAGGTCCCTTCAGGCAAACAAAGTGTGAATAATGAACATTGACTGAAATTCTTATTGGGAGTGCAAATTACTTTTCTACCATGATATTCTGCACCCTCCGCAGTATATGTTTTGGTACCAAAAACAAAGTTTCCCTTTAGTGTTGATACCTCTTTTTCATGTAAGCCATATGCCACATACAGCGAGGAAGTACGTTCCTTTGTGTGTCCAGTGTTACAGAAGGTGGGAGCTGCTGTCAAGCACACATGAGGGCTGTGCAGGGAATGTGGCGGGTAAATAAGCAGCCTGACACTGCATCAATGTCACATATAGTGGGGAAGCATGTACCCCGTCTGTGTGTGCGCTGAGGTCCAAAAGCTCGGAGCCGGACATGCCATGTATCTCCAAGGAGAAAGAACAGACACACTAACTGGCCAACCCAGCATGGATCTGCTCCTGTGCTTGGCTTGGTCAGAATGGAATTGGGAACTGAGGGGAACTGTCAGGATCACCAGGTATTTCAGAGCAAATAAACAGTAGATTTAACAAAAATGGCATGAAAACCACAGGCTTGTGTGTGTATATATGTATATATCTACCTAGATATATATATAGATATATCTATCGATCGATAGATAGATAGATAGAGATAGATAGATAATATATATTATATAATATATTTATTATCCGATGTGAGTACTTGGGGCAACATACACTTTAAAAGGTTTGCACTGTTTTAAAAAATGCAACTAGAAGTGCATCTAATAAGCACACTTAAACTGCTTGGTCTCAATGGTGAATGAGTCATGAGCTTGCCATAAGATGCAGCTTCTCATGGTGATTGCTGATGGTATCCCTGTGTTCACTGCAGGTACAGGCAGCCCAGTCAGAAGCAAAGATCGTGGCTCAGTACAATGAACTGGTGGCTGTGGCACGTGAAGACTTCCAAAAAGAGCTGGACAGTGTTACCCCGGAGGTGCAGACTGGCTGGAAGGGCCTCAGTAAGTGTCTCTTCCTATGGGTCGTGCAGCTTGATCACAAATCGCACTTTTGGCTTCCTCATAGCTGCTTTAGTTGTGTTGTTGTTTGACATGCGTGTCCAAAAGAAGCTATGCAGAAGGTTTGGTCTCTCCAGTTTTCTCAAGTTAATTTTTTATATATATATATATTTTTTTTTATCTTGGTGATTCCTATTTTCTTTTAGTATCCATTAACTTCATTGGAACAGCTTTGCTGAAGTGATAGACTATCATTTTCCTGAGTGAAAGCATGTAAAGTCACATGCCTCCTCCTCACCTTAATCCCCTATTTCCACAATGTATCTGCTTTCCAATCACTTGTCTGCTAGCGATCAGCATGTCCTGATCCACGTTCACTATGTCGAGGGCCATTACAAAGCTACCTTCAGTTCTTTCCCTTATTTTGCTACTATTGCTTGAGGATGTATTGTGTTTTAAATAGGAGGTCAGGGGGTTGTTACTATGTCTTGGGTAACTTTTTTTTTTTTCCAGGTTTATTAACTTTTCCTGGAATTACATTTCACAGCAAACCTGTCATATCTGATAACTAGTAGACCTATAAACCTTGTATATTCGAGTCCTCTTTCTTGGCCCCCTAATCTGGATTGTACAAAATCCAGACAGCTAGTTCTAGTCCTGCGGTTGGAGTTCTTCATGTTCTGCTCACACATTACACTAAGGAATGCACGCCAGCTGTGGTGAAACTACAAAGATAACATGATGCCTCAAGTCACGCCTGTGACCGTCAGTCTTGCAATGCAACATGGGATTTGTAGTTTCACCCTAGCTGGAGTTGGCCCACTCCTGCTATATACTGTCCTAAGTTCAAAGATTCCCGGCTAGACGTAGGCAGAAAAGTGCAGACAGCTCTACTTCAGCTGTTCCTGGGCTAGTCTCAGGCCCGGAGGGTGGACAGTAGCAGTAGTTTCTCAAAACTCCATTGAGAAAGGCAGCTTTCTTGATGACGGTCCAAAGAACTGTTTTTTGGGTGAGTACTACCAGGTTCATAAGTTTGCCAGCTACTTAGGAGTATGGGGAAAGCAGAAAGGATAGAATCCTCACAAGTAACAGCAGAGCTTCTGCCTCCTTGAAATCAGATTAATATGAGATCAGTAGGCTTCTGTTAAAATATTAAAGAAGCACTGTCACCTTGCCAGTGCAGACCAAGGTGGGGGGTGATCGGAAAGGTGTCGGGGGGCAAATGTCCTTTCCCGAGACAGTCTCATTTTCCTGCATGGGTTAGGTGACTGGCCGTCTCGTAAGAATGGATCACGGTACAGAACTCTTCAACGGTTGTTTGATATGTGCCAAAAAAAAAAGCACACATTTAACATAAGAATAGGAGCCATGTCAGGCATGCCAGGTCTAAGTGAAGGAACAGTTCTACTTTTCGTAGGTAACATCTGTGGCAGTAAACTATCTTAGTAAGGAAACCGCTTATCAAGAGCCGATCAGTCTAGATCAGTAGCCGATCTCAGTCTAGATCAGGGCTAGGCAACCTCGGCACTTCAGCTGTTTGAAAACTACAAGTCCCAAGGCATTGCAAGACTTTAACAGCAACAGAGGGACACGACTCCTACGGGCAGACGCCTGAGGGGATTGGTAGTTTCACCACAGCTGGAATGCCGCAGTTGCCTAACCTTATTCTAGATAAGGTAGATTCCGGTAGATTCAGATTGTTTGTGGCTACTAAAGTGAAAGGTGATGAAAAGGAGCAAAGACTGAGCAGATAACACGGGTCAGATTTTCTCATGTGTATCCTTTGGTGGTAGATATTCCTTATACGTTGGGTTAACCTATTTAGGCCCCGTTCCCACTGCGCGATATGCAAATGTTTGTCTTTTCTCTGAAATCGGCTATTACTAGAATTTGCTATTGTTGCATTTAACAGCATGTCATGTGGAGTAATGGCTTCCTTGCTGCAATGCATGATGGCATCCGATGTTGGGTTTATGTATACTGCATGCCATACAGTTGTGTGGATTTTATGTTGAATAAGCAGGGATGAATTTCCGACTGATGATTACATGTTTACCACACTTGGGAGACAAGCGGGCCACAGAGGGGATAATCTGAGTTGAAAGTGGTAGCCGGGTACTGTGGTGCTAGCAATAAAATGTTTGTACAAGAAAGTGGTAGTGGGAATATGTTGGAAAAATTGATTTCCATTCGTTTTGTTTTGAGAAATGGGAACGATCGTGTTTATTGCACTGACATTTCATCCACACACTGGATGGCCCGGGGAAGGAGGCCACGGTTGGCTGTAGATGGCCCGGGGAAGGAGGCCACGGTTGGCTGTAGATGGCCCGGGGAAGGAGGCCACGGTGGGCTGTAGATGGCCCGGGGAGGAGGCCACGGTGGGCTGTAGATGGCCCGGGGAGGAGGCCACGGTGGGCTATAGATGGCCCGGGGAGGAGGCCACGGTGGGCTATAGATGGCCCGGGGAATAGGCCACGGTGGGCTGTAGATGGCCCGGGGAGGAGGCCACGGTGGGCTGTAGATGGCCCGGGGAGGAGGCCACGGTGGGCTATAGATGGCCCGGGGAGGAGGCCACGGTGGGCTATAGATGGCCCGGGGAATAGGCCACGGTGGGCTGTAGATGGCCCGGGGAGGAGGCCACGGTGGGCTGTAGATGGCCCGGGGAGGAGGCCACGGTGGGCTATAGATGGCCCGGGGAGGAGGCCACGGTGGGCTATAGATGGCCCGGGGAATAGGCCACGGTGGGCTGTAGATGGCCCGGGGAGGAGGCCACGGTGGGCTGTAGATGGCCCGGGGAGGAGGCCACGGTGGGCTATAGATGGCCCGGGGAGGAGGCCACGGTGGGCTATAGATGGCCCGGGGAATAGGCCACGGTGGGCTGTAGATGGCCCGGGGAGGAGGCCACGGTGGGCTGTAGATGGCCCGGGGAGGAGGCCACGGTGGGCTATAGATGGCCCGGGGAGGAGGCCACGGTGGGCTATAGATGGCCCGGGGAATAGGCCACGGTGGGCTGTAGATGGCCCGGGGAGGAGGCCACGGTGGGCTGTAGATGGCCCGGGGAGGAGGCCACGGTGGGCTATAGATGGCCCGGGGAGGAGGCCACGGTGGGCTATAGATGGCCCGGGGAATAGGCCACGGTGGGCTGTAGATGGCCCGGGGAGGAGGCCACGGTGGGCTGTAGATGGCCCGGGGAGGAGGCCACGGTGGGCTATAGATGGCCCGGGGAGGAGGCCACGGTGGGCTATAGATGGCCCGGGGAATAGGCCACGGTGGGCTGTAGATGGCCCGGGGAGGAGGCCACGGTGGGCTGTAGATGGCCCGGGGAGGAGGCCACGGTGGGCTATAGATGGCCCGGGGAGGAGGCCACGGTGGGCTATAGATGGCCCGGGGAATAGGCCACGGTGGGCTGTAGATGGCCCGGGGAGGAGGCCACGGTGGGCTGTAGATGGCCCGGGGAGGAGGCCACGGTGGGCTATAGATGGCCCGGGGAGGAGGCCACGGTGGGCTATAGATGGCCCGGGGAATAGGCCACGGTGGGCTGTAGATGGCCCGGGGAGGAGGCCACGGTGGGCTGTAGATGGCCCGGGGAGGAGGCCACGGTGGGCTATAGATGGCCCGGGGAGGAGGCCACGGTGGGCTATAGATGGCCCGGGGAATAGGCCACGGTGGGCTGTAGATGGCCCGGGGAGGAGGCCACGGTGGGCTGTAGATGGCCCGGGGAGGAGGCCACGGTGGGCTATAGATGGCCCGGGGAGGAGGCCACGGTGGGCTATAGATGGCCCGGGGAATAGGCCACGGTGGGCTGTAGATGGCCCGGGGAGGAGGCCACGGTGGGCTGTAGATGGCCCGGGGAGGAGGCCACGGTGGGCTATAGATGGCCCGGGGAGGAGGCCACGGTGGGCTATAGATGGCCCGGGGAATAGGCCACGGTGGGCTGTAGATGGCCCGGGGAGGAGGCCACGGTGGGCTGTAGATGGCCCGGGGAGGAGGCCACGGTGGGCTATAGATGGCCCGGGGAGGAGGCCACGGTGGGCTATAGATGGCCCGGGGAATAGGCCACGGTGGGCTGTAGATGGCCCGGGGAGGAGGCCACGGTGGGCTGTAGATGGCCCGGGGAGGAGGCCACGGTGGGCTATAGATGGCCCGGGGAGGAGGCCACGGTGGGCTATAGATGGCCCGGGGAATAGGCCACGGTGGGCTGTAGATGGCCCGGGGAGGAGGCCACGGTGGGCTGTAGATGGCCCGGGGAGGAGGCCACGGTGGGCTATAGATGGCCCGGGGAGGAGGCCACGGTGGGCTATAGATGGCCCGGGGAATAGGCCACGGTGGGCTGTAGATGGCCCGGGGAGGAGGCCACGGTGGGCTGTAGATGGCCCGGGGAGGAGGCCACGGTGGGCTATAGATGGCCCGGGGAGGAGGCCACGGTGGGCTATAGATGGCCCGGGGAATAGGCCACGGTGGGCTGTAGATGGCCCGGGGAGGAGGCCACGGTGGGCTGTAGATGGCCCGGGGAGGAGGCCACGGTGGGCTATAGATGGCCCGGGGAGGAGGCCACGGTGGGCTATAGATGGCCCGGGGAATAGGCCACGGTGGGCTGTAGATGGCCCGGGGAGGAGGCCACGGTGGGCTGTAGATGGCCCGGGGAGGAGGCCACGGTGGGCTATAGATGGCCCGGGGAGGAGGCCACGGTGGGCTATAGATGGCCCGGGGAATAGGCCACGGTGGGCTGTAGATGGCCCGGGGAGGAGGCCACGGTGGGCTGTAGATGGCCCGGGGAGGAGGCCACGGTGGGCTATAGATGGCCCGGGGAGGAGGCCACGGTGGGCTATAGATGGCCCGGGGAATAGGCCACGGTGGGCTGTAGATGGCCCGGGGAGGAGGCCACGGTGGGCTGTAGATGGCCCGGGGAGGAGGCCACGGTGGGCTATAGATGGCCCGGGGAGGAGGCCACGGTGGGCTATAGATGGCCCGGGGAATAGGCCACGGTGGGCTGTAGATGGCCCGGGGAGGAGGCCACGGTGGGCTGTAGATGGCCCGGGGAGGAGGCCACGGTGGGCTATAGATGGCCCGGGGAGGAGGCCACGGTGGGCTATAGATGGCCCGGGGAATAGGCCACGGTGGGCTGTAGATGGCCCGGGGAGGAGGCCACGGTGGGCTGTAGATGGCCCGGGGAGGAGGCCACGGTGGGCTATAGATGGCCCGGGGAGGAGGCCACGGTGGGCTATAGATGGCCCGGGGAATAGGCCACGGTGGGCTGTAGATGGCCCGGGGAGGAGGCCACGGTGGGCTGTAGATGGCCCGGGGAGGAGGCCACGGTGGGCTATAGATGGCCCGGGGAGGAGGCCACGGTGGGCTATAGATGGCCCGGGGAATAGGCCACGGTGGGCTGTAGATGGCCCGGGGAGGAGGCCACGGTGGGCTGTAGATGGCCCGGGGAGGAGGCCACGGTGGGCTATAGATGGCCCGGGGAGGAGGCCACGGTGGGCTATAGATGGCCCGGGGAATAGGCCACGGTGGGCTGTAGATGGCCCGGGGAGGAGGCCACGGTGGGCTGTAGATGGCCCGGGGAGGAGGCCACGGTGGGCTATAGATGGCCCGGGGAGGAGGCCACGGTGGGCTATAGATGGCCCGGGGAATAGGCCACGGTGGGCTGTAGATGGCCCGGGGAGGAGGCCACGGTGGGCTGTAGATGGCCCGGGGAGGAGGCCACGGTGGGCTATAGATGGCCCGGGGAGGAGGCCACGGTGGGCTATAGATGGCCCGGGGAATAGGCCACGGTGGGCTGTAGATGGCCCGGGGAGGAGGCCACGGTGGGCTGTAGATGGCCCGGGGAGGAGGCCACGGTGGGCTATAGATGGCCCGGGGAGGAGGCCACGGTGGGCTATAGATGGCCCGGGGAATAGGCCACGGTGGGCTGTAGATGGCCCGGGGAGGAGGCCACGGTGGGCTGTAGATGGCCCGGGGAGGAGGCCACGGTGGGCTATAGATGGCCCGGGGAGGAGGCCACGGTGGGCTATAGATGGCCCGGGGAATAGGCCACGGTGGGCTGTAGATGGCCCGGGGAGGAGGCCACGGTGGGCTGTAGATGGCCCGGGGAGGAGGCCACGGTGGGCTATAGATGGCCCGGGGAGGAGGCCACGGTGGGCTATAGATGGCCCGGGGAATAGGCCACGGTGGGCTGTAGATGGCCCGGGGAGGAGGCCACGGTGGGCTGTAGATGGCCCGGGGAGGAGGCCACGGTGGGCTATAGATGGCCCGGGGAGGAGGCCACGGTGGGCTATAGATGGCCCGGGGAATAGGCCACGGTGGGCTGTAGATGGCCCGGGGAGGAGGCCACGGTGGGCTGTAGATGGCCCGGGGAGGAGGCCACGGTGGGCTATAGATGGCCCGGGGAGGAGGCCACGGTGGGCTATAGATGGCCCGGGGAATAGGCCACGGTGGGCTGTAGATGGCCCGGGGAGGAGGCCACGGTGGGCTGTAGATGGCCCGGGGAGGAGGCCACGGTGGGCTATAGATGGCCCGGGGAGGAGGCCACGGTGGGCTATAGATGGCCCGGGGAATAGGCCACGGTGGGCTGTAGATGGCCCGGGGAGGAGGCCACGGTGGGCTGTAGATGGCCCGGGGAGGAGGCCACGGTGGGCTATAGATGGCCCGGGGAGGAGGCCACGGTGGGCTATAGATGGCCCGGGGAATAGGCCACGGTGGGCTGTAGATGGCCCGGGGAGGAGGCCACGGTGGGCTGTAGATGGCCCGGGGAGGAGGCCACGGTGGGCTATAGATGGCCCGGGGAGGAGGCCACGGTGGGCTATAGATGGCCCGGGGAATAGGCCACGGTGGGCTGTAGATGGCCCGGGGAGGAGGCCACGGTGGGCTGTAGATGGCCCGGGGAGGAGGCCACGGTGGGCTATAGATGGCCCGGGGAGGAGGCCACGGTGGGCTATAGATGGCCCGGGGAATAGGCCACGGTGGGCTGTAGATGGCCCGGGGAGGAGGCCACGGTGGGCTGTAGATGGCCCGGGGAGGAGGCCACGGTGGGCTATAGATGGCCCGGGGAGGAGGCCACGGTGGGCTATAGATGGCCCGGGGAATAGGCCACGGTGGGCTGTAGATGGCCCGGGGAGGAGGCCACGGTGGGCTGTAGATGGCCCGGGGAGGAGGCCACGGTGGGCTATAGATGGCCCGGGGAGGAGGCCACGGTGGGCTATAGATGGCCCGGGGAATAGGCCACGGTGGAGGGGGCCCGGGTGGGGGCCATTGCGCCCCCCCCCCCCATTGCTGTCAATGAGACATCTGCCCATCCATGAGCCATTTTGGAGAACCATCTCACAACGTGAGAGATTTACAGTTGGCAGATCTGTAATCTTCCCCACCATCGTCCACCACAAGCGGGAGCTGCAGGAGGAAAGTTTGTCAATTTTACGCGTGTAAAAAATATGCATCAATGCCGATACTGAGCATTTGCCAATACTTAACCCAATACCGGAACTTTTGGTCAGAGGGATTCTCTCTGACCAGCAGTGTCGCGATGGAGCCGGGTTCCCGGATAATCAGGAAGCAGGGCGGCCTTGCAGTGTTGTGAGGGAGCATGAAGCCAGTGTTCTTGCCAGGCTATCGGGAAGCCGAGCAGGGTGGTCATGGCTTCCTGATGAACCGGGCCCACGGTACTTCGGGATGCCGGTATTGGTATTTTGGTATCACCGAGTACCAGGAAACAAAATATCGGTACTCGATATTGAAAAACCGATATCTGTGCATCCCTAGTAGGTCTATTACATACACGCAAAGAGCAATGATGAGTGTTTCCCCATAGGGACTAGTCATAGCTACTGTTTGGGGATGCCCCAACAGGGAGCAGTGTCTTGAGATATTGCTCTTTTGCCTTGATTTATGGCGTTACCTTGCCCTTGGGCTCCTAGATTGGGCTGACTGTCTCCTGATTTCTGCAGGAATGTATGTGGTGTAGTAATTGTCCCATTTACCACACTTCTATGTAATATCTGTAGCTTTCTAGGTTAAATGTTCTACATCTCATAAGGATTCCTCTGTGTGGTGGTTTTCTGGGTCTGTTTCCACTTTGTGTTTCATGTGTCCCCTCAGTTTGATCACAGCTTTAAACCAGCTTTCTTTTCTGTACCTGGATAACCGCTAAGGGTCCGTTCACACCAGCAGCATGCCATATTGAATGCTCATTGGTGTGTGCTGATAGGAGGTGCAAAGCTCTAATTTCAGCGCATTGCAGTGTTTTTTTTTTTTTTCCCCAACTTTATTGAAATGTCACTAACTGACATTTCATTCAGTTCTATTCACCCCAGTGCATTGAGATGCATTGTAGAGTGTAAAAAAAGTAGGGATGTCCCGATACCATTTTTTCAAGGCCAAGTATTGTTCTTCAGGTGCTTGCCAATACGACATGTGACATTACACAAGCACCATGTGACATTTTTTCTCCAACAATACAGACTAATGATTTTAGGGCAGTTTCTTTATAATTATGAAGAACTGTAACTCAATCCATGATTCAGCAATAGACGACTGCAGATCACATCAATCCATGATTATAAAGCACTCCAGGGCTCTGCAGGCGGGTGCCGGGCTCTCCAGGGCATCAGCCTTTAGTATTGGGGCATTTTTAGGAGTACAAGTACTCATGAAAATGTCCTGTATTGGCCCCAATACCGATGCTAGTACCGTTATTGAGACATCCCACAATGCAGTGGTGTGAACTGACCTAATTGCCTTGTCTATATGTTAGGACGGTGCTGGGCAGGGTTGCTCTGGTGTGAATGTGCCCTAAACCTTATGTGAACCCCTTCTGAAATCTAATTGGACAGCAGATCCGGTTTCTCATGCTTTCATACGGTCTTGCACGGGACTTTGATAAGTATTTAAGATGCTGCAGTATACTTCTTTAGGGGCCATCTTAACACTGCAAAACTGCGGGTGTCCTGAGGACCTGAGCTGTGTTTTCCTCAGTTTAATACTTGATCAAACTTCATTGCAAAAAAACTATTTCATTGAAAACTGACCTTTTACGCTCTTTGCTTGGCTTGTGGCATACCTCCCACTGTGGACATCATTCCTTGTGGCTTGGTGTAGGAGGAAATATATATGAAATGCACCATTTAGTATTCACATTGATATTCTCACCCAGTCCTTCTTACCTGGTAGCAGCTGTCGGCCCTCTCTGATGTGCGGCAGGGCCCCTTCACACCAATGCATTGCGGTAAGCCACGTTATGTGCGTTGGTACACTTTGGTGCCATTCAGTTTTAATTCATTTTGAATGGCACACCAATGCACCACATCCCATGGTAACTCAATACCATTCTATGTGATAAGCCAAATGCAGCAGGTACAATTTCAGGCCTGGCGTGGTGTTAGGCAGCCTAGTCACATAAATGTGATGTTTTTCCATTGATTTGACTTAAAATGGAAAATGTATGAAGACAAAAACCGTATGGGAATTGTCTTGGCACACTTGAGCGTCACGGTTTGTAAGACATTGCTGGGCAATAGCGCGATGGTTGGGTTTAGGTTGTAAAGCAGTAATTGGGAGGTATGCCATGGCCCTGCTCTGCGAGTTGTGGGTGGGGAGGGGTATGTGTATATCTGCATGTGGAGATGTTTAGTGTATAAGCTTGTGCAGACTGGTGTTAACTTCCTCTAAACCTCCTTTTTTCTGTTTTCAGAGATTTCCGATGTAGGTGAGTCCTGTTCCTTTCGGTCTGTAACACCCTCACTATATCTCCCTCTGTCTGTCACTCATACTGCATGTCATAACCTTCACCCGTATGCCACCTGCATTGTCACAAGTCCCCTACCTACGGTGTCCCACGTGGAATTTTGTAGCTTATCTGATGAGTAAGTCATCTTATCATTGTGTAAACTAAGGCTGGCCATACACTTGGGGGAATGGGGAAATCCTCCCTGCTGGGTCTGTTGTATATCAGAACAGTAACTGCAGCCACTGTTGGCCTGAGACTTCAAAGCAGCTCCTTCATCAAAAGACAAGTTGGACAATCTACTTTTGTCAAATAGGGGTGCCCAGCGGGGGTAACACTGGTCATACTTTGACCAATGTATGGCCAGCTTAAGTGTGCATTGGCAGGTTGCTACCTCCCTGCTTAGCCGCATCACTGAGCCTATATGAAGATGGTAAGTTGTACAGACTCGCAGCACTTTGTGAGCATTAAGACTAGTTCACACCAGAACTGCGTGCGTCTGCACAGCTGCAATGCGATGCGTTTTACCGTGATTATACTGCGATTTTTACTGCGATTGATGCAGTTTTTTGTTTTTTTTTCTTTTTTGTTGTTGCTTAAAATGGGATTTCAGGTGCGTTCCAGTGCATTTGCATGTATTTTTGATGCCTTACGGTCTGATCTGATGTAGCTTTAACCTCTTGCCGTCCGCCCGTAGTAAAAAAACGGACGGACGGCACTGCCCGTGCGTGCCCTGGCGGGCACGCACGGGCAGAAAAGACCCGCTAAATGCACACACCCGTTACCGGGTATTTCACATATAGGCGATCGGCGGGTCCATAGCCCGCCGATCGCCTATATGTGCTCGTTCGCGGC